AGTCTGGCTCTGTTGCCCGGGCTAGAGTGCCGTGGCGTCAGCCTAGCTCACAGCAACCTCAAACTCCTGGGCTCAAGTGATCCTTCTGCCTCAACCTCCCGAGTAGCTGGGACTACAGGCATGTGCCACCATGCCCGGCTAATTTTTTCTTATATATATATATTTTTGGTTGTCCAGATCATTTCTTTCTATTTTTTAGTAGAGATGGGGTCTCGCTCTTGTTTAGGCTGGTCTCGAATTTCTGACTTTGAGCGATCCGCCTGCCTCGGCCTCCCAGAGTGCTAGGATTACAGGCGTGAGCCTCCGCGCCCAAACTGGGACCCTGACATTTAACCGCTGGCTACACAGCAGGAACACACAGCCCAGGCTGAGAAGAAAGCAGGGAGAGAGGAAGAAGGGGAAGACAGACTGGAGTCCACAGAAGCACAAGGCTGTGTGTGGACTGTCCCTGCTGCTCACACACTGACCTTGTGTTCATCCCGACAGCTGGGCCCAGAGGCGTCGGGGAGGAGGGCACAAGAGGACCCAGCTGGCTGGGCAGGCTGAGGGGACAGGGTGCAGGGGTTGGGGGTGGGGAGTACAGAGGAACAAAGGAAAGTGAAACTGTCTGTATTCTCAAAGGAGCCAGAGTTCCTGCCATGGCCTATTCTTGGCTCTGGAAAGAGGAATGGTCCCCCACGAAGCACATTCCACAAGGCTTCTGGGTCATATTTTTAGTGAGTACAGATAGTCCCCAACCTACAATGGTTTGACTTACGATATTTCAGCTTTAGGATCGTGCGAACCCATCCACATTCAGTAGAAATCATACTTCCGAGTACCCGTATAACCATCCTATTACTCACTTTTAGTACAGTATTCAAGAAATTACATGAGAAATTCAACACTTTGTCATAAAACAGACTTTGTGTTAGATGATTCTGCCAAACTGTAGGCTAAGGTAAGCGTTCTGAGCACGTTTAAGGTAGGCTAGGGTAAGCCGTGATGTTCGGAAGGTTAAGTGTATGAAACGCATTTTCCACTTGTGATGTTTTCCACTTACGGTGGGTTTATCAGGATGTAAAGTTGAGAAGCATCTGTCCCTTTTCGGAATTCCAGTTTAGATTTATCTTGTCCCTCACCAATCCTGTCCCAGCCAAATTTGATATTTGTGCCTTCAACAAAGAAACCGACATGTAGAGGAGATTCATTCATTCATTCAGCACATAGTTACTGAACAGCTACCTGGGCAAAGGCCTAGGAGTGAAGAGTCACAGAGGCCTGTGACAAAGCAGGCCCTTCACAGGAAGCACATCCGGAGGGGCGCAGAGCAGAGTCGTGGCCGCTTAGGGACAGGAACTGTTGCTGGGGTTCAATCTCGAGCCCTTTCCCCTGCTGTTTCCGTTCAGCTCGTTACAAACGTGTGGGCTCTGTGTGTTTCTTGGCCTGAGGTCTGGCAGGGCTGGAGAAGGCCTGAATGTTTTGTCGGTCAGTGTTGTTCTTTGCATGTGTGGACACAGTCTTTCTCTCTCTTGCTGCAGACCAGCTGCCTGTGCAGCAGGGCAGGAGGAAACCGGGGCAGGGAAGGGCGAAGGAACTGCATGGAACCCTGCAGGGTTGAAGTTGGGATGCCTCGGGGGCGCTCCTGGTCTCCCAGACCTCATCCCCTGACCTTCTGCCCAATCTCTGGTTGATGCCAAGATTCTTAAAGCATCAAACACTGTCAGGACTTGTCAGTCACATTGGCCATGTCCACACTGCCATTTACTGGTGGCCAGGGAGGAGATGTCCTCAGGGGGAACAT